GTTGTATATCTTGGTTGCAAAATTTTCCTCTACAATTCATTTAAAATGATTTTTTAATATAATATTTTTTTATTATAAATATTCTTTATTAGTTAAATGTGACGAACACGTTGGAGAAGTTTTGTATCTACCTATTTATTTATTGGATTTGATGATGGCACCATGCTATAAACTTTTCCCATGCAATAGTGAAATTATTAAAAGTCTAAGCAAAATGTCTCAATAGCGGTTTGTATGGACAATTAGTCCAGGACAGTATCTTAAGAAAGAGAAAATTGTATGTTAGATTCTATTTGTAAAGTCGAAATTCATATTTGCTCATCTCCTTATAAAGAATTAACTTAAACTACAGTACTACACCTGCTTCAAGTTCAAGTTGTAAGAAAGATAAACAATTACCTCTGAAGAAGATAATCAAAGATTGACGTACAATATTGCTTGATTTTTGCGTCGCAAGAAGTTATATACTTAGAAGAAGAAGAATGTTAGATTTTTTAACTTCTACGGCTAAAATAAACTGTTTTTCCTTCTTTTTTTTTTTATTATTTTATTTAAAAGTGTTTTTCAATATTAAACACTTACGGGATAGCGGTATACATGGTATGAATTCTGAGTATGATTGTGCCTTGGCATCCTTTCGCAATAAGCGTCCAGATTTTGACGTTAACAATTTTACTACTAAAGACCCCCCCCCCCCCCCCCCAATCCAAGAATACATTGGCGAGTGCCTTTTTTCATAAAATTGTCCAAGATATGGAAGTGCATTTTGATATGACGGCTCGGCAGACAGCGGTTTTCCAATGCTCAAGATTTTCTTCTGACTATCCCTATACATGAGCTTGGCCAACACATATCTCCCATGGAGTATCGTACTATTCTCAAATATCGACTCATGATTTCCATTTTCCCAGTTGTCCAAGATATGGAAGTGCATTTTGATATGTCCTGTGTGTCGCAAGACATGTTTGGACTCTTTTGGGCAGCATGCAGTTCACTGTAAAGAACTCCTGGGGTTCAAATACAGACACGATATGGTTAAGGATGTCTTGTTTGATATATTTAAGCGTGCCGGGGTTTCCGCTAAGAAAGAGGCACCTGTTAATTTCTTGACTGACCCGACAGAAGGAAGGTCAACCCTTAGACCGGCTGGCATTCTGATTTTTGGATGTGTCGGAGGGAAACACGCATGTGTGGATCTTACAGGGGTATCCCCTCTCGTGGGCCTGAGGGATGGGGGTTTAACAACGGGACATGCTGCTTTAAAAGCAGCTACAGGCAAAGTCACCAAACATGAGAGATCGTGCTTGGAAAATCAACACGTGTTCATATCATTTGCATTTGATAGGTTTGGTTTCCTCGCACCAGATGCGGTAGAGCTTCTTAAAAGAGTACAACGAATCATACATAGTAATGTTATATCCCCTAGATCTTCGGATGTAGTCTTTAAAAGAATTAGATTTACCATTCAAAAAGGCTTAGCGGCACAGCTTGTTGTCTGTTTGTCATCTCACTCATTGTACGATGACAATTAAAAATATATCAAATTCATTATAAATATTAAAGTTTAAATAGTTCTAGTTTTACAAAAAAGAAATGTTTCATTAAATTCAAATTTCTTTCAAATCCAATTTATTTAATAATTCCACATTGAAATTATATGGACACTTTGTTACTTATTTGTAGAGATCAACAAAACGATAACTATCTATTTTATCTTTGATCAATATTTTCTATAAATAATCTTTTTTTGAACTTAGAACTTTTATGAATTTATTATAAATAATTAACAAATTTAGATCAAATTTTATGTATTATAGTATAACATCTTTATTTTTCATAACCACTTTTTTATTTTATTTCTTTATTTTCATATTAGATTATGATTAACATGTTATTTTGTATTTTATGACAATAGGATAATTTTGTCATTTTTAAAGTATGTTGTAATATATAAAAAAATGGAAGTAAAATGATATGAATTAATAGATATATTTGATATTTATTATATTTTGTTTTATTTAAAGTGAAGAAATATTACAAAAAAAAGGCATTCGAACAAAAATATTAATTATATTAATCGTTGTTGGTGCTTTACGATAAGTCATTTGATTTTAATTAGGTATACAACATAATGTAGCTAAATGCAAATATAATTATGTCATCGATATAAAATTGCTAAAATTGGAATGATGTTTTTTTTTATATTAGAAGATGTTCGAAGACGTACTCTAGGTTTGCGGTCTTTTAAAAAATAAACTGTAAAAATTAATGCATGTGTGTGGTCTATACGGTGCAAACAAACAAGACCAAAAAAGATCTATAGATAAAAAACAAACACCACCTAAACTTTTAGGTAATCTTTTTAAAAACAACTTACACACCAATGTACTCCTAAACTACATATTTTATCTAGCTCCAATAAAACTTTGACTCATAATCTTCGACGAAGGACCGTTCAAACAAAACCCAATATTGCTACCAATTCTACAATAAAAAATGTAAGCAACTTTGGTTGAGAGTATATGAAATGTTTGATATTTCAAGTGAGAACCAAAATTTGCAAAATATTTAATAGTATCTATACTCGAAGCATGGATTAAATTGACAAAAACTCTAGCTACCTACCTAAACTAATTAGATAAGTTGACGCAACATGACAGTAGAAGATCGCTTGAGATGTCACATGCTTAGGATGTCTACTACTTCGGAGCACCGGTAGACTATGTCTCTTGACCTCGCAAACAGGCACAGAGCTTGAACAATTAGTTTGGGGGGAGGGGGGGGGGGGGGGGTATTATAAACTAAAACCAAAGTTCTTATACAAAAAAAATCAACAAATAAACACCAATAAAAGTAATCAACCCTCGTTATGAGCTTCTTCATCATCAGTCTTTCTTTTGAAAAAACAATCAATGTTTTTCATTTTTCTCATGATTGTATCTATAAAAATCAAAATGGATGAACAATTGTATCAATAAAAATAAAAAGTTAGATGAACATAAGCAAGACCCATCATTCATTAGCTTATTCTAGACAAACATTAACAAAAATCTACAATAACTCATTTAACGGTGTGTAAAAATTTAAAACTGAAATCGAAAAGTGAAAATTGAAATTTGAAATCAATTTTCATTGACAAGTATAATATCATCTAAAATCTATAACAACTAACAAACTAACAATCATCAACTCATTTAACAGATTGTGAAAAGTGAAAACTAAAATTAAAATTAGTTGATTCACAAGACCCAAATCACAACAACAAGCAAAGAACATGAGCATTCCTAATTCCTAACTCACGAACAATTCAATCAATTGAAAATTAGAAATCAAATGTTTGAGATTTGTGAATTCTAATTCCTAATTCTACTATTCCAAGAAGAGATGAAACTGAGAGAATCGGTGAACATGAGAAGAAAGAACATGAATACTTGTTTTTCGGTGACAGTAGAACTGTTGCGGTGGTGAATGACGAGATTAGGCGTCAAGTGAGGTGTTACTAAGTAAGGTAGTGACGATGGGGATGGAAGTGGGTAAGCTTTAGATACAATCGATTTTGACTTATCACTTCGTTTAGAAATAGACTATTGGAGAAATTAGGAGGGACCCAATTTTGACAATGACATACATATAATTAAATTTTTTGAAATTAATAGCTATTTCTAACCCAAATTTCACCGGAAAGGGGGGTGCGGGGGGCTCCTAAGAGTGTAGGGTCCCTTGATCCACACCAACTAGTTAATTAAGTTGATATGCTCGCATTTTATAATTTGACAATTTGATCTCAAATTTATTATTATCTTGGTTTGATCCAATATCATGTTTTGTTTCTCTCTTGCCATCCTTTTATTTGTAACAACATATAAAAGTAATCAACCCTCGTTATGAGTTTCTTCATCATCGGTCTTTCTTTTGAAAAATAATCAATGCTTTTCATTTTTCTCATGATTGTATCTATAAAAATCAAAATGGAGGAACAATTGATTCGATAAAAATAAAAAGTTAAACAAACATAAGCAAGACTCATCACTTATTAGCTTATTCTAGACAAACATTAACAAAAATCTACAATAACTCATTTAACAGTGTGTAAAAATTTAAAATTGAAATCGAAAAGTGAAAACTGAAAATTGAAATCAATTTTCATTGCCAAGTATAATATCATCTAAAATCTATAACAACTAATAAACTAACAATCAACATTAATGCATTTAACATATTGTGAAAAGTGAAAACTAAAATTGAAATTAGTTGATTCACAAGACCCAAATCACAACAACAAGCAAAGAATATGAGCATTCCTAATTCCTAACTCACGAACAATTCAATCAATTGAAAATTAGAAATCAAATGTTTGAGATTTGTGGGTTCTACTTCCTAATTCTACTATTCCAAGAAGAGATGAAACTAAGAGAACCGATGACATGAGAAGAAAGAACATGAATACTTGATTTCCGGTGACAGTTGGACTGTTGCGGTGGTGAATGACAAGAGTAGGTGTCAAGTGAGTTGTTACTGAGTAAGGTAGTGACGATGGGGGCAGAACTGGGTAAGCTTTAGATACAATCGATTTTGACTTGTCATTTGGTTTAGAAATGGACTATTGGAGAAATTAGGAGGGACCCAATTTTTTGACAATAACATACATATAGTTAAATTTTTTGAAATTAATAGCTACTTCTAACCCAAATTTCACTGGAAACCCAAGGGTGTAGGGTCCCTTGATCCACGCCAACTAGTTAATTAAATTGATATGCTCGCATATTACAATTTGACAATTTGATCTCAAATTTATTATCTTGGTTTGATCCAATATTATGTTTTGTTTCTCTCTTGCCATCCTTCTATTTGTAACAACGTATATAACAGCAATAAAATTTTCACTATGTGTATATTTAAATTTAACTGAAAGAATAAATAAAATTATTTTAGATTTTCAAGCATTAATTACACTTTACAGGAATAACAGAAGAACGGAGAAAAACTCTTTTCTTATCAACCTACCCAACCCTTGGAATGTAAACAAGCGAAGCTTTCACCATCTTAGTTGCTTGTGTTTGATCATTACAACTAAAGTCTCTAATCAACCTACCCAACCCTTTTACACGGCGGAAACCACCACTCTCCTCCTTCTCAAAGCCGCCTTGTGTCCTAACCGAACTATTTTGCTGGCGCCTGTTTTGTCTGCTTTTAATGGCATTTAAGTCCATCTCCGCCGGAATCCCAGCCAATCCAACCCCATAATAATACCACCTTGACTTCTTTGAGGCCGACGCCACCCTCTTCGTTTCATGCTCGCCATAGCTGCCATGATTTCTCCCTTTGTTCATGGGTCGGAACTTGGTAAATTCAATGTTTCGGCCAGATCCATTATTTAAATCAAGTCTTGTGTTTCCATGATTGCGTTTATCGAATTCTTGGGTGTTTCTGGAGATGGGTTGTTTGGGAAGAATCAAATTTCCACAGAAAACGATGTTTTCCTTTGGATTCGAATCTTTAACCTTCTTTAGCCACTCTTCACTGAAAAACTCAAAGCTTTCATCGCCTATCATGGAGTCTTCAGAATCAGTAACTCTGCAATTATTAGTATCATAGCCATAAATAGGAAGATCACATAAAGAAACAGTCTCTTCTGATTCATCATCAAGGTTATCTTGCATGGTGGCGTTAGCGCTTTGATCTGCTAATGGTTCCTCGAGATACAGATGATCTTTAAGCGCCATGATTATGAAAACTTCAAAGGATATTGTTTGAGGGTTAATTTACGAATTTGAACCTTATCTACGGATATGTGTGTATATATAGATGTATATTTTTATTATTAAAGAAAGGTGGGTTTTACTTTTAATTTCATCAATTGCATTCCATGAGATTAGTGGGTTAATTTTGTTTGTATATGGCTTCTAGAAAATTGATTAGAAACTTTAGTTGTGCAGAGTTGATAATTGAATATATAATTAAAGATCATGAAATAGTCTTCCAACCGGAAGGAGCAGGGAAACTTTAAGTTCACGCAAAACTCAAAACTAAAAAAAAACATGTTTAATTACTTAACAAATACTTTAATCTATGAATATTTAAGTTGCCACTACTAGAAAACATTGGCCTTTTCCAAGGGGAAAAGGTACTGAAATTTTCTGTAGCTAATTAGCTACGGAATCACTACGGATCAGCTACAGAATGTGATGCCATAGTTTAGTAACGGAATAGCTACAAATGCGGGTCCGCAGATGTAAATCCATAGCTAATTAGCTACGAAATGGCTACGGAATACCTACGGATACTAATTACCTACGAATTAGCTACGGAATATGTTTTCCGTTAGAATTCTGTAGCTAATCTGTAACTAAGTAGCTACAGATTTTTCTTATTTTCAATTTTTCGAGCACCAAACGTCGTTTTTTCACACCTCTAGTATACATCATTATCTTTATTTTCACCAACTTGTAGCTATTAATATCATTCATAAAGTTGTGTGTCCCTCAAGATCAAGTACTCGTTTCACAATTTAACAATGTAATGCATATACTTTTCACCAACTTGTGATGGATTATGTTTGTATATGTATATTTATACACATGAATGAGTTATGGTATCTGTGTATGTGTATATGTGTATGTATATGTGTTTGTGAGATGTATGTGAACGTATTCATAAGCATTATAGTGTTAAACCACTAAACTAGTAATGGATCTCATATGTGCACACAACTTTATGAATGATACTAATAGCTAAAAGTTGGTGAAAATATAGATAATCATGTATAATAGAGGTGTGAAAAAAACAGAGCGAAAAAAAAAAATGAAGTTTGGTGCTCGAAAAATCAAAAATAAGAAAAATCTGTAGCTACGGAATTTTTCTTATTTTCGATTTTTTAGGCACCAAGCGTCATTTTTTTCGCTTCGTTTTTTTCACACCTCTACTATACATGATTATCTATATTTTCACAAACTTGTAGCTATTAATATCGTTCATAAATTCGTGTGCCCCTTCGGGATCAAGTACTCGTTTCACAACTTAACTTTGTAATGCATATACTTTTCACCAACTTGTGATGGATTATGTTTGTATATGTATATTTATATACATGAATGAGTTGTGGTATATGTGTACGTTTATATACATATGTATACGTGTTTGTGAGATGTATGTGTACGTATTCATAAGCATTATAGTGTTAAGCCATTAAACGAGCAATGTATCCCGTATGTGCACACGACTTTATAGATGATATTAATAGCTATAAGTTGGTAAAAATATAGATAATCATGTATAGTAAAGGTGTGAAAAAAACAGAGCGAAAAAAACGACGTTTGGTGCCCGAAAAATCGAATATAAGAAAAATCCGTAGCTAATTCGTAGCTATTTAGCTACGGAATATGCTTTCCGTTAGAATTCCGTAGTTAATCCGTAGCTAAATAGCTACGAATTAGCTACAAATTTTTCTTATTTTCGATTTTTTCGGGCACCAAACATCGTTTTTTTCACACCTCTACTATACATTATTATCTATATTTTCACAAATTTACAACTATTAATATCATCACCATCACCATCATTATCACCATCATCACCATCATCATCATCACCATCACCACCATCATCACCATCACCACCATCATCAGCATCATTAACATTATCATCACCATCATCACCATCACCACCATCACCACCAACACCATCATCTCCATCATCATCATCATCATCACCATCACCATCATCACCATCACCACCATCATTACCATCATCACCATCACCATCGCCATCGCCATCACTATCACCATCACCATCACCAGCATCACCATCTCCATCATTATTACCGTCATCATCATCATCACCATCATTATCATCATCATCATCATCACCATCACCATCATAATCATCATCATCATCATCACCATCATTATCATCATCATCATCATCACCATCATCATCATTGTAACATACACGTTCTGAAAATTGTGTATTGTTATTATTGTAAGTGAATAAAATTGAGTGTTGAGTTCTAACAGCTAGTTTTTACTAGAAATTAAGTAAAACTATGTTTAAAATTACTCATAAAATATTGGAAGTCTTATGAGATTCCAATTAATAGCCAAATAGTGAAATTTAGCGAAAATATAAAATTTGAAATAAGTAAAATTTTATTATTTGATGTTGTAAATCATCTCGTTAGAAACTTTTAGGCGAAAACCTCGTCAAAATTCGAGTTATAACGAAGAAGTTATGACCAACCGAAGATCCGCGACAAAATTGGTACGGAGCCGAATGACGTAAAAAGTGAGTTTTTATAAACTACTTTTTAGCCTTAGAAATCTAAATGAAAGTCGTAGTATTCATTAAACCGAGAAATTCGATAAAAAGAACGCAAAAATCTGACTTCGTATGAGGAAGTTATGATTTTTCGAAGTTTCAACTTAGCAGTAGACAGCTAAAAACTTGAATTTTAGATCGAGCGATATTTGACAGATACATCCTAAACGAGAATCGAAGGTCTCGTCATTTGTAGTACAACGGTAAAAAGTCTGACGAAAACGGATGTCGGATGAAGAAGTTATGAATTTTTAACGGATTTTCCTGTCCCGGTCTATTAAAAATAATAATATTAAAAATAAAGTCAAAATTAGCCGATGAAGTCTAAATAAAAGTTGTAGAGCGTAATTTTAGCTACGCGTGCATATAAAGAACGTTAAAAACGGAGCTCGTATGCGAAAGTTATGGATTTTAGAAGTTCGGGGCTCAAAATCCGAGAATTTCGCATGAACAGTAACTGCCACGAAGCGGCCACGTCACCCTTATCCATCCGAGTCCGAAGCTGCTGCGTGTCGTGCTTTGTTTGGACCGAACTTCGGTCAGGAGCCCTTCAGACGCGTGTTTTGGCATCCGAGAAGATGTCTAAGACGCCTCCGTAAGACGCCTCGCACCAGGCCTCCACCGAGCTGCTTGCTGCTGAGTCACCCCTCGCTGCCACCTGCCTCTTCCAGATCCGGCCACCTAGCCTTCGCAGCTGCTGATGCCTGGCTCCTTCTCGGCCAAACTCTCGCATCTCCTCCCTATACATACAAGGCCTACGAGCCTTGCCGAGGAATTTTAGAAAATTGTCATTTTTGGCCCCTTTTTCCATATTTTGACTATTTTGACATCCCCCGAAGCCCCGGTGTCAATTTTAACACCCGAAACACGCCCCGAAGTGCCGAGAAGCCCGAAAATTTTATCTTTTCGGTTTTGAAGCCCTACCTTCGCAGAGCCCGGTTTTCAATTAAGCTCCCGATTTTCAACATAGAAAGTCATATTTAAAGCTGAAATGTTGTCCAAATTACTATTTTAACCCCCAGTTAACTTAAGGGGAGTTCAATATATAGGAACAATTGTATGTTATGTGTTATATGTGCTATGTGCTTCTCAGTGTTATTATTCTGAGTTATTCTCCCGTGTTATTTTATTCGCTATGTTTATAGCAAATATAATACCTTTGACCATGTGATCAGTGAAAGGACTTCGATTCACATTGGTACTGGTATGTAGCCTCTAGCCATGTAGAGCATGTCTCCATAAGAGAATGACTTCTATTCTATGGCATTGGCATAAGGTTTGATAGGAATGATATGTAGCCTCTGACCATGTAGAGCATGACTCCGTAAGAGAATGAACTCTATTCTATGGTATTGGCAAATGGTTAGACAGGGCTATAACCCTGAAATCTACCAAAATGTTAATCAGAAATTATATGTATTCTGTGCCAATTGGGCGAAAGCTTTATTGATGCATATCAAGTATTGAAATCGTTATGTCTCATTGAAAAGTATATCTTCGAATAAAGTCTTTGATTGATATGAATGCTTGTTACATGATTTCACATATGTCTTCTTGTTCCCATCTGCTTCTGTCATATTGGTATATGTAAGGCATAAGATTATATTGTATCTATCTGTTGAATTCACTAAGCGTTATCGCTTATTCGTCTCAATATTTAACAATTGCAGGTGATGAGTATTCCAATATAGCTTTATACTGCTGAAAGATTTAGAATAGTTAATAGTATTTCTCTGTATTTTTAATGTTCATGTATGTATATAAATAGTAGATTCCTGGGTAGACATGAAATTGTAATAAAACTTAGTCGGTTTGTATCAAATCCTTTGTAATCACTTTATCAATATAAAATATTGTTTTATAAATATGCATGTAGCATGTTTTGAGGAAGTAACTTAAGAAATCTTTTGAAATAGTATGAAAGTTTGGGTCTTTCATAAATACGAAAGTTAGGGTCTTTCAATCATGGTATCAGAGCAATGGTTTAAGTGAACTAAATATCACGGATTGGTATTTAGACTTAAACTGTTGGAAGCTCAATATATGAGTTGATTCATAATAAGTATATGGATACAAACCATAAGAAATATTTAAGTGGGGGATTGGGTAGTGATAAACCCTAGTATTCTAAGATATTAAGTTACTTCACAATTTTAAGAAAATTAGTTTAAGTGAACTAGAAATTTTAAGAATTTCTAAACTTAAACAAGAATTATTAAGTAAAGATGATACGATATATTTTAAGTTGAATACCTAATGGAGGCAAGCACTAGAATATTAAGAGGATATATGCCTTATATTCTATTATGTGCTAAATGATAAATGAATATAGAGAAGAGATATGCCTTATATTCTATTATGTGAAAAAGCTTAAGGTCTGTTGCCGACCATGGTTTAGAAAATTTTAAGA